ACACAATCACACATGGCCCAGGATACTTTGGTGCAGCAAGGATCAAGGGAATGAACGGGCAAACAAAAATCCTGTTGACCAACAAAATTCAATATTTAAATTTATGAAATGCATATAGAAATTGAAGCCGTGAGATAAAGTTTCTAAGGATAGAAAATAATATCAATAGTGACTACAGTACCTAAAATATTATTAGTTTTAAATAAATAAGATGCACTACCCTAGATTACATAGTGGGGTGACTTGTGTCAACAAAGACAAGAATACCCTAATACTATGCTTGACTCGGAGAAGAAAATAGAAAAGAAAAAAATAAAAGGAGAAAAAATAAAGAAAAGAAAAAAGTGAAGGAATATTTTCTTTTATTGTGCTTAGCTGAGTAAGAAAAAACAGGGAAGAGAAAAAAGTTGTTTATTTTATATGGACAATAATAATCATATTATTTATAAAATACATATATATATATATAATAAAAAAAGATTTTAACATATTATATATATAATAATTTTTATAATATATTATTGATTGAACAAAAGCATAATTAAAAATTATTTTATCCAATACTGACAAAAAATCTTTTATCCAATTTAAAATTTTATGTATTAAATTATTAAATATATAATAATTTAATAAACATAAGGTACTTAATTGAAAATTAACGTGAAAATTTAGAATTAACATTTGTTTAATTAGTCTAAAAATTAAATATACTGCTTGTTTAACAAAAGTTTATAATTAAACTACACTATAAATATCATGATAAAAATAAAAGCAAGAGATGACAATAAAAAATTAGTGGATAAATTTAAAAATGAAAATTTTTCTCCAAAATCTCTCCATGTTTGAAAAGAAAAATTAAAAGTAAAAACATATAAGCTTCACATGTCATTTTTCTCTCACTTTTATCCTTTTTTCACTTTCCTCTCTGTAGCCAAGTAGAGAAAAATATTATTTTTTCCCTACTTTTTCCTCCCCCTCACTTTTTCCTCCTGTCAAGTATAACATAAGCCATTGTTTGGTTAGGGGGAGGGGAGGGATTTGCTCCCCTTCCTTTGTTTGGTTTGGAAAAGTGGAAAGAAGGAGAAAAAAATTTAAAAAAAAATCTCCCATTTTGTCCCCTCCAAACCAAGGGGATTAGGAAGGAAGGGGTATAATTTTGTTATACAATGAGCGAAATGTTCCTTTTTTAATTGCTACTCTTCATTTTTTAAACAAGTTTAACAATTGTAAATTTTTAGTAATATATTTAATAATGATAATTACTCTTTATACTTATAATTATATGTTAAAAACATTCATAATTATATTTTATTAAAAAATAATTTTAATAATATAAGGATAAAATTATCTATATATAATCATTTTTCCTCCCCTCCCCTTCTATACCAAACAGAATGACATTAAAACCCTCCTCTTCCCTTCATTAAATTCTCCTTCATTAAAATCTCTTCCTTTTTATTTCCTCCTTTTAAACCAAACAAACTTTAAAAGAATATACAAATAATACATAATGTCCGCAGTAGTTATAAATGGGCTCAGCACGCTTAGTAAGATTGGGCTTCACTAACTTATGCTTGAGGTGTCTAAGTATTGACTTAGTTCTCACACCATAAAACAAAGAATGGATATAGAAGAGGAAAAAAAGTTGTACTGACAAAAGTAAAAAAATAACGTGCTTTTTGAAAACATGACATCTTGTAATTCTTATTTATGTAAACACAGTGTATGTGCCATCTTGTAAGTATGACCTTTAATCCTTACCAGTATTTACATCTCCCAAAACCAAGTTCTTACTTGTTATTTTCCTAATTTGGTACTTCAGTATAGTTACAACTTGATTACATATATAATTTTATTTGAGGCCGTCTAATAATTTTCATATTAAGCTTCTCATTACTTTGACTTCGGGGAAAGAAATAAAAAAGTAGAAGTAAAGTTAGATTTTAGATTCCTCAACTAAAAGAGAGGGGAAAATGAGTACTTGTCATCTCACAAGAATATCAAGGTTTTATAACTAATCTATGTGACAATTTTAATTTCAATTGAGTATAATTAATTATAAAAATAATTTATTAATATAGTTGATTTTAATTATAATTAATTATATTGTAATGTAATATGTTTAGATACTGTTTTTTAAAAATTAATTTTAATAAAATTACCATAAAGGACATAACTTTTTAAAATTAAATTATTGATAACAAATTAACATAAGGTTGACAGTGAAAAAATGAAATGTAACTTGATTGATACAAAGAAATTTGTTTAGAACCATCCAAGTCGCGTTTGCAACTTATAATAAAATCAATTAATTGCCTTAATATCAATTATCACAAAAATTGTCTGTCTAGGTAAATTCTATTTTAATCAATTTTTTGGCCCAAAAAATTGATTATTTGTTCAATTCAAACAGGTTGTATATATTCAAACTCAAAATATTCCTTTCTAAATGTTAATGCTATAATCTGGTTTACTTGGGGGGCATGATACCCCTATATTTTTTTTCTTCTTTCATTATGTTAGGGCAAGCTGAAAGGAGAAATTTGATGAGTTCAAAATTAGAACGAGAGAAAGAGTGAAGGTTAGTGGCATAGAGGAACCCTATCACCTAGGAGTTTCACAATTATATTCGGGTCAATGTGGATGCACGCAATCTAATGAAAAAAAGTGGATGCCCTCAATCTTTCAGAATTCGGGGAATATTTGCTAGATCACATCACATAATGCAATGGGGTAAAGACATGGAATCAATTGGGTCTTGTTTTTTATCATTGGAAGTGGACGTAAGGCGATAAGGATTCCATTCTTGAGTTTGGACATTATTGCGCAAGAATCAGCACCACTCAATAAAGATTCTCCACAAATTTTGCAACTCCCTTTCACTCAATTATGATTTTGTCCTTCGCCCACCGCCCAACCCAGCTAGATTGAGCCCTAGTCTAATCTTATTTTAGGATTAGCATCAGTATTAGCACTAAACAGTGCAAAAGAATATGCATATGACGTGCTTATGCCCTGCATGTGCATGAAATTAAGCACAAGTAATAACAATTTCAGGCTAGCTTATGCCTTCATTGTATTGGTTTCAAATTTAACAATGTGATGTGTATCCAAAACATACTAGGAAACAATTTATTTCTTAAACCTAATTTCGTTATTTAACCCAAAAAGCATTCTCTCTCTGCTTTTTTAAGAATTAAAGGGTCGTGTACTAAGGGTTTGAGGCGGGATGGAACCCATGACCTCTCACTTATTGGAAAGCTTATGTATCACTAAACTATAAGGTCAATGATACAAAACATTTTCTTAAATCCTAGGATCAATGCATAGAAATGCCAAAAATCCAATTGTGAAGAGGCAATCCCTATAATAAGAACCAAGCCGCTCACATGTAATTGACTAGTTGTTGTTTTGGCATATAGCAATGTAGTATCTCTAAATAAATTACTCAACCTACTAACTATTTCTTCAAAAATTTAGGTTAAACAAAGTTGCTAGTTACTTGTGAAAGAATCAAAAGCTAGAGAGTATATTTTATATCACTGACTATCTTCTTACTTGATATAGATAGTAGTGGAGAGATATACAATAATACCATACCTTTGCTGGTACTATTACCCTGTAAGATTTACTAGTGAAAGCACAATCATAAAAAAAATTGTTCTCATTGCACATAGCCAGTCACTATCCACACACTGCTTTCTAATTGTACGATGTACATTGTCAACACCATCAAGCAAGGAAAATTTCACAACTGTAGTAGAAATAGCATGTTACCTGTTTATTTTTTCCTTTCCTTTTTGGGAGGGTAGTCTCTACCTGCACTACAGAAACAACATGTTACTAAAATTAGACCTTTTGCATTGTAAATATAAAATAAGTTCATCTATTGGCAATTTTTTCATCTAAGAGACTATGGAGCACTCTAGTGGTGGTTACAATTTAATAAATGACAGTTTGTTCAGCATTAGAAGACTATCTAGCTCTAGTTGTTAAAATCAAGATTAAATTGACTAGCTTGTAATCGCTAAACATGAGGAATTTGTTGGGAGAATCTTAAACAAATTTTCCTATAAATCCTTCATATTTAATCACTTTTTTTAAGCTTGAATAAATAGGCCATGAGTTTAAGGTGAGTTGGGTTTAGATTTATCAATGGTTGAAATATGTTTATGCTAAAAGAACACTTATATATTTTTACCAATAAGATCCTCGATAATAAAATTCAAATCTTCACCATTGGAACATCCCATCTTAACCTAACTAAACTAGTTGCAATAATAGATGTTTTTGGCAATGAGCTAAACATGTGTCTAATGACTAACTTGCCTTTTCCAAGCTTAGTGCTTACTTATGCATGCATAAGTCATGGCTGCGAATTTTGATTACTGGTAAATGTCTACGAAACAGGGTTGACATCTAGATAATTTATGCTTTTTAGCTGGTTAATCATACGAAAAGCAAAGCATCCTTGCACAGCACACCATGTTCCATTAAGCTTGCACAAATTAGCAAGCATTATCAAATGCAACTGATATAGACTACATGTCAAACATCTTGTGACTTTTAAAAAACTTGAGTCCTAGCTCTAAAAACCTTTTTGACATTGCCTTACTTAGACATAGAGTAAATGATAATATCAGTAAGTCCACAGATAATGATTAAGAATTTTAGAGTAAAACACATTATCAGTTAGGTTTTACTATTAGACATTGTATTTTGTATCTTATCAGGAAGTACAAGTTGCCAATGATAAACTCAAGGAGTATCTTGAATTATAACAATGAGAAGTATGTCCAATGATCCTAATTCTCTTCCACTTGTTGTCTATTGTTTGAACTTATATTTTGGTTCCCTTATGGAATGGATCCCTTTATCTTCTACCCTTTTGAAAGATATATTCGTCCAACAGGCTTAATTCCACTAAGACTTTTCCTCCTACTTATAAGGAGCTGGCTTGGTCATCTCTTCCTCATACAATTCCTTGATTGAATGAGCCATTCTTTCTCTCTTCATTCCTATTTGGGAGGTTCAACTAGTCATCCGCTACCCCTTGCTATCGGTTAATACCTCCATTTCTCCAAACAGATCCTTAAGTTATAACTCTTACCTTCAGATGGCATCATCATCTTGGACACCGAGGCAAAACAAACTATTTGAACGAGCTTTGGCTTTATACGATAGAGAAACCCCTGATAGGTGGCAGAATGTTGCTAGAGAGGTGGGAAAATCTGTTGAGGAGGTTAAAAGGCATTATGAGATCCTTAAAGAAGATGTCAAACGCATAGAGCATGGTCAAGTCTCATACCCCCCGTATAGTAACCACGCATAAGGGTTCTACAATAAATAGCACAGGTATTTCTCCTATTTTCCCCTCATTCTTGAGTAGTTAAGCAGTCCTCAAAAATTTCTCTAAATCTCATTTAATCATTTCCACAATTCCTTTAGATAATATATGCATAATTAAATCACCTTCTAAGAAATAAAAGAGTGTTATATACCATGAGATTTAAAAACATACAAGATTGGGGCACTGCTAGTTGTCTACTTAACAATGATTTATGTTTTCCTTAATGAATTTCATTTATATTTTGAAAAGCCTTTGTCCTGCAGTACTTGAAAGGACACTTTATAGTGGGGTCAATGGAATAATGTGGTCCATAAATTCTTCTACTAATAAATAGGCAAATATCTTGCATGGGCATCAAACTTCTTGTTGCTACATATCTATGGTTCTAATTTTATTTTTCCTGTCATTTAGAATAACTTGTCAAACATCCTATGCCACATACTTCAAAAAATAGTCATTCCTTTTTTCACGTCTCAATGAAAATTTTGTACCAAATCTATGTACAACTTATTATGTACATAAAGTCCTAAATACTTTTTTAAAGCTTTTATCATTCATCAATTTATCTATTAGCATATAGTCAATCACATCTGAATACATGTCTCTTCAAGACATTCTTTCCCTGTAGTTTGTAAAGGTTTATGTTTAAACCTTTTTAGATGCATTTAAAACTAGCTCACTGACATAGATCTTTTTCTCTATGCTTGGCAGGCTCTCGAGGCTTCTAAATCTAACTCAAGAAGGTGTAGCATGTTGCTGATGATTATTAAATAAACAAAAGTATTGTTAGACACACTATACAAGAGTCCAATTGCAAGCTACTATGCAACTATGATAGTCTTCTAGCCTGTTTTCCTCCTTTTATTTGTAAAACAATATCTATCTATGTTGAAGTCTTGTCGAATTACTCTATATATATAAATCATTATTATTATATATCTGTAATCTGCATTAATTAATGAAGTAATACTTGTATCCCAACCTACAAATAAATGCGATTCATGAAAAGGTATTTACCAAGTAAGATTCCTATCATGGTGTGATTTTCAATAGTAGCAAAAAGGTAACCAAAGAAACCAAAATATAAATGGCAAATTACATAATGATTTTTTAAAACTAAGAACGCATAGAAATAATGGATTATTGAGCAATATATCTTTTGACAAAAAAACCAAGTATCTATTAATTAGATAAGAATCAAGCAATGCTATTGAACATGTGAGTGATTTTGAAGCGGATTATCAAAATGGTCACAATCAAGCTATGGATATGAAAATAAAGTAATCGGGCTTAGAAACTGAATGGGAAATAAACTCTCATTTATTACTTTCAATCTGAGATGCTTTGCAATGGCAACAAGGGTTCAAAATAAAGAGGCGATTATAAGAGTTAAGGAGAGGTTATAAGAGTTTTATTATGCTCCATTTAATTTCATTACTCGCCTTTCATTGCTTGTTCTTTTGTTTTTCAGTCATCTATTTCATCCTCCTTAAGTTCGATAGAACTAGCCCTCGAGGACATCATTATCAATGTAAGGTGATAGATCAACAACATTGAAGGTGACAAATACTCCATAAAAGCCAAGCAATTCTACCTTATAAGCATTATTGTTGATCTTTTGCACAATTTTGAATGGACTGTCAGCTCTCAAGGATAACTTGATGTTTGATTATTTAGAAAATCATTTCTTCTATAGAAGTATCCAAACCAGGTCTCCTACATTAAAATTTTACTGTCTTCGATACTTGTCATATTGAGCCTTGTATCTCAAATTCTACTTTTGGATTAGCTTGCGAATTTGCTCATGCAACTTCTTAATTTCATAAGCTCTTTGGTTATCATCAAAACTATATTAATGCTTATCAAGTGAAGGGGTCAAGTCTAACGAACTAAGGGAACGAGTGTTGTAAAAACCTTCAAACAGATACACTTCCTAATTGCTTGGTTGACCGAGTTATTGTAGGAAAATTCAACTTGATCAAGAATGAGGCTTCACTACTTCAAATTCTTCCCTTATGAAACCATGAAGAAGATTATCAATAATCCTATTTATAACTTCAGTTTGACCGTCTCACTGCTGTAAATAGGATTATTGATAAAAAAGATTTTGTCATGGTAGTTGTGGATCATTTCTTAAAATAACCTAGTTCATTCAATGCCATAAGGCCAATGATGCTGTTCAAGTAGTAGATTTATACTTTAAAGAGATCGTTCATCTTCATGGCATTCCCCAGACTATTACTTTTGATAGTGATGTGAAGTTTCTTAGCCACTTTTAGCGGACGCTATAGAAGAAGGTGGGAACTAAGCTCTAGTTTAGTAGTACTAGTCATCCCCATAGCGTCCACTAAAAGTGGCTAAGAAACTTCACATCATTATTAAAAGTAATAGTCTTAGGAATGCCATGAAGACAAACGATCTCTTTAAAATATAAATCTACTACTTGAACAGCATCATTGGTCTTCTGGCATTGAATGAACTAGGCTATTTTAAGAAATGATCCACAACTACCATGACAGAATCTTTTTGTGTCTGAGTCTGTGGTAAACCTAAAATAAAAATCTATGCTTGAATCCTCCTAAGGTGCTTCTAGAATTGGCAAAGGCATGTATAACCCTATATTCTAACCCTTGGACTTGGCCAAGTGGCAAATTCTTCATCTCTATATATGCTTGTTTGCATCCTGTTCAAGTCAAGGCTAGTAAAAGTTCTCCCTCACTAGGTCAACTATTTTATCCCATCCAAAATGTCCGGTTAATGCACTGTCATATGCTTCCTAAATTATGGCCTCTCTCAAGGAATCTTATGGAATGCATAAGGTTTTGCCTTAAAATAAAAACCTGTTTATGTCTGTAGAATTAGTGAAAAGATTGATTTGCAATTGCTTTATACACTACTCGAAAATTAGGATTATCCTGGTATAGCTCTTTGACAAGTTCAAACCTAACAACTTTAGCCCGCTTTATTGTAAGCAATACATGTCAATGGCTAAGGGTATTAGCTACGGAGTTTAAAGTTCTAGCCTTATGCTTGATAAGGAATGGATAAGACTGTAAGAGTTTACTCCAATGAGTATATCTACAGCTAATCTTTTACTGAGAATTCAAATACTTAAGGGTCTCATAATAAAAAAAGTGTATGAATTCTTTATTTAAGAGATAGTGACTCTAATGTTGGAGAGCTCGAACAACGACATAAAATTCTTTGCCATAAGTAAAATATCTAAACTTAGAATCGTTGAGCTTCTTACTGAAAAAGATGATGGGATGGCCCTCCTTACTTAATACAATATTAATACTGGTGTTAAAAGCATTATAACTAACTTTAAACACTTAGTAAAAATTAGAAAGAGCTAGGACTGGAGCTTTGATCAACTTCTTCTTAAGCTCCTCAAAGCTTTTCTAAACTTGCTTTGTCCACTAAAATTTTTCTCCTTTGGTACAATCTATAATTGGTGTAGTGACAAAGCTAAAATTGTAGATGAACTTCCTGTAGAAAGAAGCTAATTTATGAAAGCTTCAAACTTTTTGAATAGATTTTGGAATTAGCTAGCTGTCAATGGCTACAACTTTACTTGGATCAATTTGAACACCCTCTGTGGTAATGATATAACCCAAGAACACAACTTCACTAGTAAGGAAAGTGCACACTTCTTGATATTAGCATAAAGCTTTTGTTCTCACAAGGCTTGTAGGACTTGCAGTAAGTTCTCTAAGTGTTCTTCTTGACTCTTACTGTAAATAAGAATGTCATCAAAGTACACAACAATAAATTTACCAATAAAAGGTCTCAACACCTGATTCATTAAGTGCATAAACGTGCTAGAGGCATTTGTCAACCTAAAAGGCATCATATTCTACTCATACAAGCCATCTCTAGTCTTGAAAGTGGTCTTTCCACTCATCTCTTAGTCGAATTTTGATTTAGTGGTATCTATTATAAAGGTCAATTTTGAACAAGGTATTAGCATCATGCAACTGATTTAGCATATCATTAAGTTGGGGTATCAAAAACTGATACTTAATAGTGATCTTGTTGATGGCTCGGTAGTTAATGCACATTTTCCAACTCCTATTCTTCTTAGGTACTAGAAGAACAGGTACAGCACAAAGGCTAACACTTTTTTGAATCAACCCTTTCTTCAATAGCTTTTCAACTTATCGTTGGATTTTAGCATGCTCCTAGGGACTCATCCTATAAACAGGCTTGTTAGGAGTGATTACTCCTGAAATAAAAATGGCATGCTGTATGTCTTGCATGGGTAGCAATCTTAGTGGCATCTTATCAGATATCACATCTAGAAACTCAAAGAATAAAGGAGTGACTCTTAATAGATTGGCAAACTCATCATTCACCTCAAGCACTAGAATAAAGCTTAACATTTGGGCTTCAGACTTCGTCACCTTAAATTCCTCCTTAGTCATCAAAGACACCAATGGCTTAGAGGTACTAGAATCCCTCAAAGATTAGCTAATCTCGTTAGGTGGTAAAGGCCCTAGTGTGAACTTAACACCATCTTTCGTGAAGGAATAGGTGTTTACACACCCGTTATGCATAGTATGTTGATCATATTGCTATAGCCTTCCCAAAAGAAGGTAGCATACATCCATGGGAACAATATCACATAAAACTTTATCATAATATATGTTTCCAATAGAAAAGGTCACAAGGAATTATTTAGAAACCTTTATCTCATTCCCTTTATTGAGCCAATGAAGCTTGTAAGGATGTGCATGATCTTATATTGGTAACTTCAATTTCTCTACCATGTAGTCAGACACTACATTTTCATAGTTTCTATTGTCAATGATGACATTACAAGCTTTTTCTTGGGCCATGCAATGAGTGTGAAAAATATTATATCGTAGCCAAGGTTCTTCCTTAACTATAGTTGTATGCAGACTTTGTCTAAGTACTCATGCTTTTCCCTGATTTGCAAGCATGACCTCTTTGTCATATACTAGATCAGTTTCATAAAACTCAGTCTCCTCCTCATCTTCTTCAGGTGCTTCATACATTTGCCCTTCCTTAATGGTGACAACCTTTCGAGTAGGACAATCTGCAGTAATGTGGCCAAGTACTTGGCGTTTAGAGCATTTGATTGCTTTAGAGCCAAATTCTTTGGCAGCATTTAGTGATGGTTTGCGCATAGCGCTAGATTGTGGCTTGCTTGAGAGGTTGGTCTGTTGAAATTTTGCCTTATGGGCTTCTGGATAACCCTTGGAGGAAGAAGGTTGGAAAGAGAATCTCTTAGGCATTTTCTTCTCAACACGTATGACTAGATGGATTACATCATCCAAGGTCTAATACTACTGAAGCTGGACTGGACGGCTGATATCTATGTTTAAGCCCAAAAGATACTAGGCTTTTATTTGCTCCTCTTTCTCATGAATGTCACACTTCAATATAAGTTGTTCAAATTATCTAATATATTCTTTTATAGACAAAGCCCTCTATCGAAGATTTTGCAACTGGAGAAAGTTATCTAAGTAGTAATGATCTGTTAGAAATTTTATAGTAAGCTGGCGTCTCATTTTCTCCTAAGTCTTAATCTTGTGCTTTCCCTCATGTTCTCGCTTTCGTCTAAGGTTTTCCCACCAAATGAAAGTATGCTTCTTGAGTTTGAGGTGACAAGCTTGACTTTCTATGCATGTAGAATCTTGTTATATTCAAATACTCATTTAACAGTTTGAAGCCAGTCTACGAACTCGTGTGGCTAGAATCTTTCTTTAAATTCAGGAATGTCTACCTTAATGTCATTAAGATGAGATTGTTGTTGTTGAGGACGATGACGATCGTTAGTGGATGACGAACTGCTGCATCCCAAATCTCCTACTGGGTTTTCTTTATTATTGTCTAGTAGAGTTCGCTGCATTTACATAGTAGCTTTCAATTCTTGTATCCTACATCTCATCTCTTTCATCTCAATCTCGTGC